AGGGACGGTCTCGGACAGAGAACAAATAGGCTGCGTTTATACTTTGCGGCAGTAGCGTAGCGCTTCCAGCGTACGCCAGCGGCAGTGTCGGGGAAAGGATGCATATCGATCTAGCGTTCCCAGCGTCACCAGCGCACGCTGACGTACGCTAGCGGCACGCTAGCGCACGCTGCCGCTGGCGTACGTTGGAAGCGCTACGCTGCCGCAAAGTATAAACGCAGCCTTATGTCTCTGTCCCATTTCAGTCGATGACGAAAGCTTGCGAATAAATGCGATGAGGCCCTATCGGACTTGCGTAATAGGCCACCTTTTGCCGCTGTAATGGCACATATCTCGAACTTTATACGACGCGCTAATAAATCACCCAATATACAGGGGGGCCAAAAAAAGTCACTTCGACCGAGTCACATATCAGCAAAGTTTTCGCTGCCCAGACAGAGGACGTGGATACGAGTACCAGGGCGGAAGATACCCAAGATGTTCCTCTATAAGCAGGAGCTGGCTCTCGCCCATCACCTTCATGTACACCAAAATATGAAGTCATCTCCAGTCGCAGCCTGACTGGAGAAGACCTTTGGAATTCATGTCACCTCCAAACAGCTGCGAAACTTCTAGTATGGAGTCACCCATGGATAGCTACCTGGAGACCAGTACTCTCGATCTGGAATGACCTCCAACATCTCCGACAACGTCGCCACGGTCTAGGACATCATCTTCACCGCAGTCGCCAAGGCGCGGGTTGATGGTATGGACCGGACGTACCTGGAATGGAAAGACCAATATTTTCTTCGTGGACCCCGGACTGGTGAGCGCTGGCGGTTACATTGAGCAACTCGTGAAGAATATCCTCCTCACATGTCGTCGCCCGTACCTTCTTGGAAACTTTGTACTGCTACAGGATTGGGTGACACCACATGGAATCAAAGGGCGTTGGGAAAACTCTTGCCTACTTGGAATGGAAGGGCGCTGAGTACCTAAAGAAGGTGGAATATCCAAGTAGGTCACCTGACCTGAATCCCTTCAATTTGGGCGAAGATCAAAAGGGTGCCTACGGTGGCGGAGAAATCGACTATCTCGCTGATCTCAGGCACCACATCGCGGTCGCGTGCCAGAATTTCTGATGGCGCTCGTGCAGAAGGCTGTGGCGAAGTGTCGTGATGTATTTAATAAGCAGTCGGAATCGGCCGGCGAAGCGCCGATCCCCTGCCCGCGTGGGTGAAGTGGTTGCTGTGAGAAGTTTCCCATGTGAGGGAGGGCCAGTCGGATCGGCCGGTTTCGTCGGCCGAATGGTCGAAAGAAATATTATTTTGAGAATTTCCGCACTTTACCGTTTCAATTCGAGTAATATGACCCCCCCCCCCCCCCCCCTAGTAGACAGTCATCAAAATTTTCTATGCGGCACTGCAAACTATTGCCGACGGTACCAACCATTTGGTATACTCCCTACGATTATCCCCTCACTATGTTCATCTGCCATACCATTGCTTAGTTTCAGTTTCACCTCCCCATTTCGTGGGGTTTTCGGATGCGTTTCGAGGGTTTTCGTCCTCGGCATCGTCCACTTCGGCGAACGCTCCGCCCATCAGGGGTGTGCTTCATTAATTTCGTCCGCCAACTGATTGCCTATCGTTTGCCACTTCTCCCACTCTCCGAGCTTTTTTGGAACCCAACTACGAATTTTTGAAAGTTTCGTAGAAGGCACCGGTTACCTACAGACGCCCTGCACAGAATGGGTTTGTTTCAGTCATTTCGTCCGCGAACTGACTGCCTATCGTGAAAGTCTCGAAGCAAGCACCGCCCATCTGTAGAACGCCCCGCCCAAAATGGGTTTGTTTCAGTCATTTCGTCCGCGAACTGATTGCCTATCGTTTGCCACTTTTCTCCGCTCTCGGGGCTTTTTTGGAACCGAACTACGAATTTTTGAAATATGAAGCTCACAACTATGCGCACGCGCCCCACAGTGGGCGGGGCTTAGCCTAGTTCACGTGTTTCGTACATCTTGGCCCATGCCTACCATCCACATTGACCGCCCTGAGACTGGCTCTTCAGGCTAGTTCCCGACTTTCGGACAGACAGACAGTAACAGACAGACCGAACAGACAGACGCTCGCCGTTTTATATGTAGTAGGATGCTTTTTAATATGGTGGTGAAAATGTCCGATCAGAATTTAACAAAGTTTAACTATAGCGCCTCGAAAGTCAATGAAGAAAAGAGATTTTTTTTGCCGCCCCCCCCTGTACATAGTTTGCTACGTCTGTGTTGTTCGAAATTCGTTTCACGGAAGAACAACTTGGAGAGGTGGGGTTGCGCCGAAGTTAGGGATGCCACAGAAAAAGTCATAATTCTGCTCCGGAGCGGTCCCGATATAAGGGAAGTGAGATAGGGTTAGCAAAAGATTGGCCTATCAAATGGAGAAGGCATCCGAAATGGGCGGGGCGTACTCGAGATGGGCGATGCTTCTCACAGATGTCAGCATCTCGGTCCCCGAGAGTGTAGAGATTGCAAAAAAGTCCATGGCGAAGAGATCTGGCAAGAGTCCATTACATCTGCGGGCGTGCGAAGACCCGCCCACAGTGGGAGAGGCATGACCTTAAGCATAAGGTACTAATTAAAAAAATTGTAGTTGGGCTAGAGCACTATAGACGACGCTGAAAAGTGGATTACGGTCCCCAAGTGGTGCAGCCCGTGTAAAGAATAGCGAGGCACACTGGGCGCAGCGTGCATCGAGCTGGGCGGAGCGAAGTTAAAAAATTCGTAAAACGTTTCCGGGGCTCTCTAGAGACCGGGAAAGTGGATTAATGTCAGCAGTGGGTCACCCGTTGAGAAGTGCGCAGCACACCAGTTGTAGGCGGAGCGTGCACTAAGGTGGGCGGAGCGAAATTAGAAAATTGGTAAAAAGCATCCGGAAGCGCTTCAGATTAGAAATATGAATGCGACTGTCAGCAAGTGGATCACCCGCTGAGAAGTGGGCAGCACACCACTTGCGGGCAGAGCATGCACAGGGCTGAGCGGAGCCAAGAAAAAAAATCTTCGAAACGTTCCCAGAGCAGTCCAGACACCGGCAAAAGGTGAGCAAAGATGTGCAAGGCCTCGGCTACTGAATAGATAGACACCCTGATTGTGGGCGAGACAGGTGTCGCGGTGAGAGGGGCAAAAGTCAGGAATCCACGAGTTGCTTGCAGAGCAGCACATGCACCTGGGGACCTTGGTCTGAAATTCACAAGGGGTTAGGGGATGAGATGGGGCAGACACTCTCGAAACGGGCGGGCCGTACTCGCGATGGGATCCTTCCTTCCAAATCCTTACTAAGAAATTCCATAATTCAGACCAGAACGACTTTAGAGATCAGTAAAAGTTGTTGGAGAAAAGAAACATGGCGAAAGTTGATTGCGTTTGTGTTGCGCAGAAGGCAACGCCCACAGCTGCGCCTGAGGGTGCTTTTAGCAAGCGAGCTGCCTTTTTTTTACCGAGCTTCAGTCATGCGGCAGCCGTACACTTAACCACCGGTCGTCGTAGGTACATTCGATACCAGTCGACTCGCCAAGTGACAGCGGCGCGCCTCCTCTGTGATGCGGCCTGGCCTTGCCGAGCGGGCGTGGCTTCGTCTTACCTATCTGCCTTTGTACACTGAGTGCCCGGCGAAGCCGGGCCGTATCACAGGAGGCGCGCCACCAGCCGCGTCAGCGCGGCGAGCGAGTGGTAAATAATAAATGAAATCAAATAGATGAAGCGTAGGTACAACAATTGTAAAGCATCCTAATGGCGATTGACGTAATAGAGGGAGGGCCGATGTATTTACATAATGAAGCGAGAATTCGACCGAACATGCACCTTCGCCGTATTCTCGTACAGTGCTCAAAATGAGGCCAAATTCAGGGCGTTTTCGGAGCTATGCCTAGCTTTCTTCTTCACGGAGGGTTCTATTCCCGCATGGTTGTTTCACATGCTATCGCAAGGAAACGTGGAGGCGTCTTCACATTATATGTATGGAGTCGTTCTGAAACGTGGTAGTAGAGCGCAACGGGTAGCGAGCGGGTTTCTTAGGCAAGACGTCGTAGGATCGGTTCCCAACAGGGCACTTCTTTTGCACTTGTCCAAGAACTTGGCCAGGCTTCCAACGTCTCTCATCGGCTGCACTACCCTGTAAAGGAACCTGCGATCAGGCTTTTTAAAAAAAGTGTAGATCCAGTGTGGCCTGGAAGACTGACTGTGATACGACTGTGTTAGGAGAGGAACTTGCCCCCCTCGTGACACATGTCACAAGGGTTTTTGCAATGAAATACCATCATATTCATGTTCAGCGGGTCAAATTACCCCTGGGGACAAGTTTCTAGCCGAATCTGATATTTCGACCTAACTTGGAAAATGTGGGCTATTCCATGGGTAATTAGCAGCAGATTGGAGCTCACCTACCATCGATGACTGGTCTCGGAATGGAATTTCCTCCCGATAGTCAAGAAAATGATGCAGACGGCACAAATAAGTAAGCCAGGTACTGTTGTTTGCGAAAAGACATGACTGTTATTTCAGCTCGAAGACCAGTCATCACCAGTAGGCTAGCCGTAGTATCGCTGTTGGCTACCAGTCAGCCATGACTATCCATACCCATTTTTTCGAAGTTGAGTCAGAAGTATTTGACCCCCTGAACACGAATATGATACCTATTTTGCGCGAAGAGCGCTGTGAGTCGCGCTACATGTGCCAACGCTTCGGCGCCAGCGCGCCCGTAAGAAGAAAAACAGTAAAGAAAAACCTCCATAACTCCGCTCAGAGAATCGTTCCACAAATTTTGAAGAGAGCTTTGAGTTCACCGTGTCAAGATGAGTGCAATCATGGGCATCATATTGCAAATGGCCGGGCTGACCTGCTGACCTTTCCTGGTCAGATCCCTCTGGAAGATTCCTTATGCCACAATGGAACTGCTACCGTTCACGATGTGCTAAGCAGGAATATGGCGTACATAATTCACAAAATGAAGCAAATTCAAAAGGTGGAAATCCTACCTCAGGACCTCCCTGAAGCACGGAATCAGTGAGATAAAGGTAAGCAAAAATGCACGTACGTCTAATGGCTGTCCTTTAACCTTCGCTTGAGATGTAACACTTCCGATGTGGTGACATAGTTCGATGAGATACACAACTAACTGACAAGGTTCAAAGTTCTCAGCGCTACCGGTAATCACCTAAAATCCTTTTAGCATAATTTTCAGAGAAAAGAATCATGCAAGTCCGTCAAATAAATTCTCACATCTGGGAACTTTTCAATCTGGTTGACTAATTTCCCAAATTCCGGTGTCTCCAAGGGAATTGAGTCGCACCTGTCCAACAAAGGGTAAAAGCTCGGCGTTGTTCGCTTCGATAGAACACAAGCGACTATGTTTCACATGAAATACGAAACGATTTGAACCTTGAAGTGCTACAGACAGTTACCGAACTGATATTGGAAAGGTCTAATCATACTTGTAGCAACAGCGCGTTGTTGTGATTAAGATCAAACGCGTTCTTGAACGAAAACTCGTATTCAGCTAACTTCGCCCTCTTCAAATCATTGAATATCACAGTTGATATGGAGAGCTGACGTGCTACCTGAATTCGCCAGAAATAAACTACAGAGAACATTCTTCTTCTGTACTACTACACATACTTCTTCCTCTTTCTCAGGCGGTACTTTAACAGTTTTGGATTCCTTCATGAACTGAAGAGCCAACTCCGTACCACGTTTAATGATGTCTCCAACCACTTCTGTCCGACCCATCCTAGACTGAGAACAAATAAAG